TGAATAATTCATTTTTCTTAACCAATGTAGGTTCTAATTGATGGAAATCAGGTACTGCGTAAAAGAACTATTGGTACTGTTTGTTGTAAAACTGGTACCTATTTATTTATCGTGATTTCTTTAATCCGTCATGTCTACCATGTCACGTGGATCGTTCACGCATGATTTTGTCAAAAATAGTCGAATTTAAAAACATAGTAGAATTTAGAGTAATCATGTATGATCATTCAATGAGCTGAAGTGTATTAGTAGTGTTTGTTCATTAGTGTGTTGAGTTCAAGACCAATTTGCGATGAAACTTAATTAAACACATTTTGAATCTCATAGAAACGAATGTGTGAGTGATTTTGAGTAATATAAACATCATTTAAGACTAAAATTTGGTGTTATATATATATTCGTTGGAGTTGGTACTGAAACCCGATATTGGGTACTAAACCACTATTTAATGAGCATTGTTTAACTATAGGACTGGTACTAATTTCACAAACGTTGACAGAAATTACAGTAATCCATTTCTATTGACTAAAGCAGGTACTAATTGAATAGAAACAAGTACTATATATCAATATCACTGGTACTATATTTGAAAAATCTCAATTCATATCAAATTCTTAAAAATGTGTAATGTACTCGACTAACTTATATTGATTGCATAACATAACCAAAAGACTCGAGAGGTCTAACATCTTTCATCGCAAACCTATCATGCTATGAGACCGTCGAGGAGGTCTAAGTTCTTGTACAAATAATCACAAGCAATCAGCCTGCATTGAACTTGTTGCCTCTGCAGATTCGCTACAATTTGGGTAGAATTCTTGCGGACCTGAAAATATTTAACTAATTACTCGTCGCGTTTATCATTCAATCATCATGGGAAAGAACTGGCACATTAAAATCCAATATATTTTAGATGCCAACAGAATAATTTAATTCTTAACAAAAAGCACACAACACACTTTGGCAGTGTTGGAATTCTCCAAAAGTACCTCGAAGTTCCCCTGGAAGATATACAATAAACAGACAGAGGGTATCCTCCCAAAAAAACTCTTGAGTCATCTGTGCACAAGCATCGGAAAGGGGTTCGGATTGACTGTCTCCATAAATAATTTGTCTAAAATGCTGGATATATTTCCCCAATTCCATCATCTACACAAAGACACACAAGAGAGAGTAAAATAGCATAACTTGAGTGGTTGAAAATAGGGGAACTAAATCAAAATCACTACCCAACCTGCTTACAGATTACACATTACCTAACAACAAGATCAATAACCCCAAAAGAATATAAAGCAAAAGGGAAACACTTTAACTTACACCTCCAAAAACCCAATAGAAACAATAAACCTCAAATGAAAGAAAATCAAATTGAGCATACACCAGAATCAATTTTACTGCACAGACAATAGCCCTATCAATTTGAGATCCAAAATCTATCATAATGTCGTTCTAACCAATTACAGATGCTCAAACAGAATATCCTAAAAAAAGTTACATGATAGAACATAAAATATTATAAGGAAGGACAAAATGTGTGAGTACCAACTAAGACAGGACAACTAATTCACTTGATTAGCAAAGCCCAGAACATAATAGTGATCACAACATTTCCCGAAAGGCCCGCTGGATGAAAATACGGGCTGAAAGGGTACAACACGAACCCAAACGACCCAAAAAAGGCTATAACGGAAGAATAATTGCATAAAAGAGAGCTCTTTTGAACAAAACATTAGCAATTCAATTTGGTAAAAGACATGAAAAATCATCAATAGACTATTACAGTATAAATGGAGACAAAGTTCTATATAACTCTTTCTTGAATTTTGACATATTCAATTGGTAGCCAAACTAAGTTCAAATTAAAATATAAAAACTAAAATTAGAATATAAACAAGCTTAAGCAACACATACATGTGTTCCAAATCCACTCAATCCAATCCTTTTACACCCTAATTAACCAAAAACAAGATCCATGTTTGACTAAATTATTACTGGAAGAATCTTAAAGTAGGCTTAATTGACAATTTTTTTTTTTAGATCCGCACAAACTACGTGAACCACTAATTCATCTAACCCAGAAACCCTAAATTCAGTTAAAGAAACTTGAAATAAAACAGGTAAAGCTAAGCATCAACCTACGAAGAAGCTACAGAAAAATAAATTAAAATAAAAAGAAACTCACAAGAAATCAACAAATCAGATCATAATGTGATAAACAGGAAGACGAGCAGATTGTGCGATTGCCGCACCAAATCAGCCCAATTTTTGGGCTTGGACTTGAACAGTGACTTCATATTGGTCCTTGAGGTGGGTTTTGAAATACAATGGGGATTCTGGGGATCAGATTTGAAAGGAAAAACAAGCAATTGAAACAAAACAACAAGTTTGAGTTGGGATGGGGTTTGGAGATTTTGAAGAGTCTGCGTTTTTTTCTTTTGGAGAGCGACAGAAGAGAGAGAGAGTAGAGAATAAGAATGAAGAGAGAGACGAGTTTTTCAGACAAATTAAATAGAAAATAATAATATCACTTTATATACGGGGAGTGATAAGGAAAGAGAATTTTAAATTGGGGACTGAGGAGGAAGAATAAAAGTATTGGGGACTGAGGAAGAAGTTGATTTGTGGAGTGGGGATTTATAAGGAAATTTCCGTTAAAACAACCTTCAATTATCTCACGAGATTAAACAACAGTTGGCAGAGGTAATGTGGGGCCATCCTTTACCCAACGCGAAAACAAATGACGTGGCAGCAAGAGATAGGCTGTGGTGCATGATTAACGTTGGACGCTAGCGTATAGTGTTTGAGCCCTCGCTTTTATATTCTGTTCACATGTTAATGTGGACGACAGAATTTAATTGGAACATTCATACAAAAAAGATTCTTAAATAAATAACACCTAAGCACATGTACTTTGCGTTTGTTTCAAGCCTCATCAAATTAAAAAATAAATAAAAATAAATAAATTGTGGATAATTTTCAAACTTTGACTTTCAACACTATTGTACTGACTTATTAATTATTATATCCACTGCTACTCTCCAGAGTTCACCTGTTCTTTTATTTTTTATTTTTTTTTTTTTTCCTTTTTAGTTATATTAGTAAATGTATATTAAATTATGGTTAATATAATAATAAGAGGAAAATCATGATTAGAGTATACTATTAAAGTTAGATTTAAGATAAGCTCAGTCAGTGTCAGAGAGTTACATTCTTTAGTGCTACTATGGTGCGTCCTGACACATAATTGCTACTACTAACTAATAATAAAGTAACATTAAATGTTATTCTAATCAAAAGTTTTTTTTTTCAAATTATTTAATTAAAATTGTTATTTTATTTTTTTTCAACTTATTAGGCATATTAAAATTAGTTACTTATTTTTTATTGCATAAACAAATATTTTAATATTTCGTAGGTAATTACTATAATAATAATTTCAATATTATTTTATCCAATTAATTGATCATCTCAACCAACATTGCATCATCATAAGATTAATATATAAGTTAAATAATTTATATTTCATATTGTTCATTTTTCCAGTGACAATATTTATAAAATGAGATATGCTCATTATTTATCTTAAGATTTTAAATATCACATAAACACACATATGTATAACATATAATTTTTTTTTTTTGAATTCGTGTATGTGCAAATGATCAAATACTAGTTGTCATGCTATTGTTTGGCTGATTTAACTTGTCGACAATCATACTTTTTTCAAACTAAATAGTACGCTTCGAAAAGTAGTATAGATAAAAGTATGCATTTTATATTATAAATATGTAATTTTTGTTAATAAAAAAATATGTCAAGTCCCCCCTCATAATTATTTGGTTTTTAAAGAGATTTTGAAGCGATTTGTGGTGCTTCAACTTTTCCATCTTAGGCGGCAAGTGAAAGGGGATAATTAACAAAGCTTCATTCAATCAATGTTCCCGCCGGAAATGATTAAATTTCGACACCAATAATGATGAAATAAAAATAAAAGGTGGCAACGCTTTGCTCACAATCAAAGTTTTATAATAATACTACACAATTATTATTAACTTCTACAATGACTAGTTATATATACACTTGTAGCATCCAATTTTACTATGGAGCCATCGGATGACTCGGCTTATGGAGTAATCCGCACTTATTTACTAATAGTGTATTGACACGTGTCCTACAATAAATACAATTTAGACAAGTGTCAATGTATTAAGTGATGGGTGGCTCCGTAAAAAAAACAATCCGATGGCTCCATAAAATTTTTGTGTAGCATCATCAAACTAACAAGTACATAATGGAAATTGTATATACTCTCTCTAGTGCACCAATTATTATTATTATTATTATTATTATTATTATTATTATTATTATTATTGTTGTTATTATTATTATTATTATTGGTTAAATTTCTAATTATGAAGATTTATTAAATAGGTTTTATTTAATGCTTATAGACCAATTATATATAGATATCAGCAATTATATATATATATATATATATATATATATATATATATATATATATATTTACAATTTCAATTCAAAAATTGGCTAACATTTTTAAGTCCTTATAGACCAATTATATATACTGTTTCAGTTTCAATTAGAATTAATTTTGAATAAAAGAAGAGAGAAAAAAACTCAAAAATAAACAAATTATATAAAGAAAAAAGAAAAGAAAATTGATTACACCTAAACTAATTGAGAAACTTTAAGCCCATTTAGCCATCAGAGACATGCCACCCATCCCCAATAAAACTGCAACAAAGGCCCAACCCTGAAGCCTCATGCTCTTTTGCAGTCTTGAGCCCATAAATTCAGCCGCCAGCAGATCCACCAGAGCCATATAATTCAGCAGCCCAGCTGAACACGCGTTGAGCAAGCCCACTACAATAAGGGCTGTTGGGCTGCTTTCACTGTACACTTTGGACAGCCCAATTCCCAGCGCTATTCCAAACGGAGTTGTGGTCGAGAAAAAGAACACCAATGTGGCTTTCATCTTCATCCCATATTCAGCCTATGTCACATAATCACATCATAAATTATAGGTTATTCAACACTATAGTTTGAAAAATATGCAAATTTTATTTAATTTAAATAATAATAAAAAAATTATTATAATTTTAAATCGTTTACCTGCATTATACAACCCCCAAGGCCCATTCCTTCAAAAAGTTGATGAAAGCAAATGGCCGCAACCAAAGGCTTTATCGTGCATGGGTTATCCGAAGCCCCCATCGAAAGCCCGATTACCACCGAATGAACGACTATTCCGAGCTCCAAAACCTGCATTTGCATGATAAAGTTAGGTTGTTATCACTTATTAGACGTGACTAATTGTTAGGTGAATGGTAAGGTTTGTTGTTACATAAGTGTACTTCGTAAAGTTAATACGACATTCAAAATAGAACTATACGAAAAACAAATCATAAACAAGTCATAATTCGAGTTTTGAATAAAAATAAACCACAAATCAACAGTTCATAAACAATAAAGTTGGTATATTTACAATTAAAAACAACTCTTTGTAACTTTGCTAATAAAATGGGATTTGGAGATGAGTGGTTTATATTTCTTCTTAAAATTATGCATTTTTTTTTTCAAATATTATGTATTTTTTTTTTCACGCAATTAAAAACGAAAATGAGGAATTAAATATATAATTAATTTATAATTTACCTGTGCGACCACGCGATACCGCAACAACTGAGCGGCGCCTTCTTCGCCTCCGACGGAAATTCCGTGGCTGTGCCCGCCGCCGGCCTTCGGCGCCGCCGCCTTTACGTTGGGTCCAGTCCGCCTGTCGGAATAGAAGTAGCTCATTGCAACGGAGTCCACCATGAGCGTGGCCACGGCCGACAGCATGGCGGCGAAGGTGGCGAACGGGAACCTCCGCCACGGGTTTTCCGGCAGGCACGGCGACGTGAGGTCGGCGAACGAGTCCGGCAGCACGTGCATGTATCCGGTGGCGAGTATGACTCCCGACGCGAAAGCTTTGACGAGGACGAACATGTCCCTGTCGGGGTGAAGCGCCGGCACCGACCTGGAGACGATCGGGAGGCAGACGCCGGCCATGCTCGCCGCCAGGATGGAGGCGATGGCGATGAGTTTGAACTTCAGTGCGCGGTCGGAGTTCCGGCAGCCGGAGGAGGAGGTGCCGCATTCCGCCGTCGTGGAGGCGTTTTGGGGATCGGCCTCGGCGGCGGACGCGGCGGCGAGGAGGAGGAGGAGTACGGCGGCGAGGATTGGAGCTGGATTAATCCTGGCCATTGGATTATTTTTTTATTTTTTGGGAGAGGGAATTTTGGTGGTGGAGATTTTGTGGTTAGGGTTTTTGGATTTTTTATAGAGCGAGATTATGGAGGTTGTTCGATTCATGTGGGGTTCGTGTTTGAGTTTGTTTGTAAGGAATGACGGATTGGTCCCTGGTTGGAGAGATGATATGTTTGAAGAAACGAGGAGAATGGGAAGGGTGTTTTAGGGATTTCCGGGTGGGTTTTGTCAGCTTGTGCTGGGCGTGTGGGCCATGCGTGGAGCCTTTTGTTTGACCTCGTACACCTGAGCTCCAGCCTCAGACAAAAGTACACTTGCACTAGCGGTAGGAGTGACGTGGCATCCACGTGCGCGTATTTTTATTTTGTTTTATTATGTAATTGGCCCAAATTCAGCACGTTTTAATTTAGCACATTTTAATTTAATTTGCTCGGTGGAATTTTGAAAAGCTGACGTGTACTAGCGAGTCAACTTTCACTCGAAAGTGACTATTTTGAGTTCTTATTCTATCAAAGTACAAAATAAAATAAAATAAAATAAAATTATTGATCTATTAAAAGAAAATAACTCTTGAGGGAATGCAGCAGTGTTAAAACTCTTGAGGGAGAGCTTTGCCGCCCTTGTGGTCCTACCCGGCTCGATTCCGAATTAGTCGGTTGCTCTATGGAGCCGGAAACCGGAAGGTCCATGTACCAAAAAAAAATAATAATAACAAATAAATAGTCTTGTATACGTTGGGCGAATCATCCGCTATGTTTTCTTGAACAATGTTCTTCATATTTTCGGTTTTTTAAGAAAATTTATCATAATGCTATGAAATATCATAGTTTTATTCACTTAAATTTTTAGTGTATGATATTTAATTATTTATTAAACAAACTACGATTGCCTATTAATTTTAATTTCGAACAAATTTCATATTTATCGTATGAAATATCATACATTTTGTTTATGTTGTAACATTTTAATTTTAAAGTACATTTATATGTTATAGTCACCCAACATATAATTTTGACGGGCTGAATTTAGTACTATATATGTCGACTTTATATTCCAATGCAAAATTATATTGAGAAAATTACACCATCTACTATTCTTTCTATGATTATTTTTACAAATACGAGAAAATAAACTTATCTTTATATCTATCTTTTTCTTAATTAAAATCAATATGATGTGGCGACCGTATTTCAACAGTATTTAATAAGGAAAATACAACTGCATAATCTCTTTCTCTCACCAAATCGATAAAGAATAAACATGATTTCTTTCTCTCACCAAATCATAAACAATTCTGCATCTTCACCACCATCGAGACAGCAAACCAAAATGCCACCAAAATTAAATCTCTTTCCATAATCCCTACCCAAAGCTTCCTCCAAGTTTCATGGCAACGGCGGTTTGTGGGGGCCGCCGCTTATTCGGTGTGGGGAATCAAGAGGGCACACAAAGAAGTACTTATCGAGATCGGAAGTCGTCGGTATCGCGGTGCAGATCGTCTTTACGACAACCTTCATTTGCTTATTATTGGTGTACTTGATGCTCAGAATATGGTAGAATTGGAGAAAGGTGGGGGCGCCGTGAAGAAAAAACGGAGAAGATGAGTTTTATCCTGTTTTAGTGTTTTAGTGTTGTTTATATGTTGTTTATCTTATGTATAATTATACAGTTCATTTACATTTTTTTTATATGTTGTTTATCTTTACACTTTATATGTTGTTTATCTTATGTATATCTACAGTATATTCGAATATGTTTTCGTTGTTTATATGTTGTTTATCTTAGGTATAATATATAGTTTACATGTTGTTTATCTGCACACTTTATATGTTGTTTATCTTATGTATATTTACAGTATATTTGAACATATTTTTGCGAAGATAATTTGTTCGTTTTCAATCCCGATTGGAGATTTATTTTTTTCAGGAGGATGGACGTTTTTTTTTTTTCGAATTCAAGATGTGGAAGAAAGATGATTTCGTTTGAATTTTAAAATTCATGAATATCTTAATCATAGGTATCATATTTGGTAGTAATTCTTTTTTTTTTTTTTCAAATTCTGTTTTGTTTGCGGTTCATTCGGGGAATTGATTGCCTGTTTGATTTATGGAGAGAGAAATCTATAATTAGGTGAGAGAAATGAATCTCGTATATGTGAAAAATATATCACATTGAAATCCTATTTTGATTAATGTTTGTTTGCACGGTAAAGATGTAAATATATCTTACAAAGACTCTATATGTGTAAATTTCCCAATTATATTTCACTCCAATTGGAGGTGACTTAATTTTGGGCCTTTTATAAAGCCCGTCTATCATAGCATTTTAAAGTCCATGAGTTACAGTATGATCCCTGGACTGAAATTCGATACAAGAAAAAAGTAAATAGCTTTGAAGAAGATGAACCTAAAAAAGTGGGCTTTTTAATGATCCACGCCATCTCGTTTCTGCATAAGCCAGCCCAAAACGGAGGCCTTTATTATCTTTTTATTATTTTTTTTTTTTTCGGCCACAAACTTTAGTTTGAACATTTTAAAATACTTTTTTCTTTAGCTTTAAGCACAGGGGAACTATGATCAAGGCATCAAAGGGAGATACATTAGTTCTTAGTAATATTGAAAACATAAGTTATTGTGTGAGATGATTTAATTTTTAGACGAAACGACCCATCATAATTTTCTAGTACAAAATCGACGTACTCCTATTTGTGTTATTTTATAATATAAATAAGTACATTTATAAAATCAAATATGTTGACTTAATTATTAGGCCGACCATACAGAAGATTTGAAGTAATAAAAATGTTCATCGCTATGCACCCAAAAATAAATAAATAAATAAATAAACAATAAACAATGGCCATGAAAAGAATATTTAAAAAAGGTTAGAGAGAAAAAAAAAAGAAAAAAAAAAGGAAAAAGTTAACCACTTCATATGCCCAAGGCCAACTACCTTTTCAAAGCTTCAACACTCATATTCCCACACAAAGTAAAAGAGTAAAAGCAAATAAAATAAAAGAGGTTAAAAAAAAGTTGATTTTGAAAGTTCTTGGAGGTACGGTTTGTGGATTTGAAGCTCAAATAAAAATTAAAACTTGTTTGGTAATCGAACAAACACATGCTTGTTCGTAAAGGTTCGATAATATTCGTGAACATTTATGTAATGTAATTCCATATTATCTATGGTAATTCTAAATTTTTAATATGCTGAAAATTAATTTGTTTTCAAGCTTGAACAGTTTCAAACGAAGTGATTTCGAGTTAATCAAATCATTTTAATAAGTTCACTTACTAGTAAAATGTACGAAGTTGAATACGAACGAATTCGAACTTTGAGTAATAATTAATGAATAAGCTCAAATACAACCTTTTTATCGAATACTAAGCAAATTAATATGAACAATGTTAAAACATAATCTAATACGAGCTCGAAATGCTCAAGCTTGGCACGTTCAGTTCAATTAATTATAATTTATAGCAATACAACTTACCTTTATTACTTTATATTGCAAAAGAACAAATAACAAGATCCATGTCACAAGTACATTAGCACATTTATTTTATATTGCAAAAGAGCAAATAATTACAAGGTCCATGGCATAACACATTATAACACTAATATATAATCTCATTAAATAATTTTATTCAGATAATAAAAAAATTCAAAACCACTAAAACAAAATTTCCACTTTGTTTTTGGTGTTGCTGTAACAGGATTTTAGTGGTACTTTGTACTAGAAAAAAGGGGGGCATTAACAATTATCATGATAACCTTAAGATAAGAGTTGGTTGTCCACTAGGGTGTCTGACTTAAAAAAGATTCATATTTGGTGCACAAATCTGATGATGCTCTTTTTATTATTCTTATTTAATATATTTCTTTTTTAAATAACAATTTTTGTGATGTTGCTTTTAAATTGGGAGGAATATAATGTGTGAACCAACCATCTGCAAAAGAATGGTTCAAATGTGAGCAACATGATTTATTCCAAGCACTACCCATTTTTTATTTTTTTTCTTTTTAAATATTCCCACTTTAATTTGGAGGGATAAATTGGAAATGCTTTGCCTTTATGAGGATCATACATTTTTTTTTGTTAGAATATCACTTGTGAGTTGTCCCACATCGTTTATATGGGGAAAATAGACCTAATTTGTAAGTCTAATGGGCTACCCATCCTTCCACCAATTGGTTTTGAGATGTAACCCCACTTGGGCTTCATCTAGCATTTCCCTTTCATTGTGCACTTCACGTGCGTGGGACCGCACCCGTTTTTGTCTCCTTTTTTACATGGGACTCACAAGTGAGGGGGCGCGTTAGAATTAATATCACTTGTGAGTTGTTGGGATGAAACCTCACTTGGGATTCATCTGGTCTTTCCCTCTCATAGTGCGCTTCACGTGCGTGGGACCGCAACCGTTGTTGCCTCGTTTCTTACTTTCTTCACTTAAAAAGAGATGATGTGGAGGTTAAGAACATAAGGGAGATAAATCAATCTCAATTTCCAAGTATATATATGATCTTTCTTAAATGTACCAAGAGATGCCTACAACACTACCACTACAATCTTGTTTAATACTAACTAAAATTGGTGATTGAGGTTCTTATCATAAAACGGTCGGGTTTCGTAGGTTTTTCATTAGGCCACCTATTTAGACAGTCATATTCTTCGAATAAATAGACATCTTTTCATAGTCAAATGTTGAGATATAATATAAACTATAAGTAAAAGTTGACATTTTACAGTATCAACATACAAACTTTAAATAGGTATGAATGATCAGCGGTTCGATGCCATGAAATATGTATTAATAGCATACTTATGTTATCGAATAACATTTATCAATAAGCTTCACCTAATAAACTAAATGTTGAAAGATGCATGGTATTCTGAGATGATTTTTTTTCATTTTGCAATCATGTATGATTAATTCTTGACACCAAAGTTAGGATGCTCTCTCTATATTTCTCTTATTATATGAATGTGGAGAAGGGCA